GCCATGCTGAGGCCGCGTCCCACATACAGCAACTAGAAGGATGTGCAGCTATGACATACAACTATCTACTGGGGCTTTGGGGGAAAATAAATAAATAAATAAATAAAATTATTTAAAAAAATAAAAATAAATAAAATAAAATATGTAAACATGAAATAAATGGTTGCATATTCAAAAAAGGTATGGACAGAGGGGACAAAGAAGTGCTTGTTGGTCTTGTAAGACCTTCACCTTGGAGGTTTGGGTGGGGGCAAGTCTGGAGCCACCATCACCCTCCATCCCCGGTTTCCCAGACCCACGGAGGGCTTTGCCCTCTGGAATAGTGTGTCATGGTTGGTCTGTAGGGTATGAGCAGAGTAGCCCCAAGAATTTGGAAATAAAGTTGCCCTCTGAAAAGTAAATGAGTAAAATGCACCCCCTGTCAATGAGATGATCCGCCTGACCTGCAGAAATAAACCAAATCACATCTGCAGATGCCCCAGGTGATCAGTGAGACCATTCATGAAAGCTGGCCCAGAATGGGGTTGTGATTTAGCAAGGGAAAGCCCAGTACCCTGTGGAGTGCCCTGTCTGGAAAAAGACAATGGGACCAAGCCAGGAATGTGAAAAAGAGTATGGCCTCTGAACCACCGGCCTCAGTATCAGGATGGTCACTCAGTAAAATGCAGGTTCTGGGCCCTGCTCCAGATCTCCTGAGTCAGAACCACTGGTTGGGGCCTAGGTCTACACTTGACCAGCCCTCCCAGATGAGTCCTCTGCACACTCCAGCTTGAGGGTTCTTGGCCCACAGTGCAGGTGTAGGCAGTGTCTGCCATTAAGACAAGGGCACCAGGTCAGGGTAACAACGTGAGTACACTCCCCATGCAAAGGTCCCTGCTCTCCAAGTCTGAGCGCCCCCCCTACACCATCCGCCTTAGGAGATGAGACTTTGCCAGGCCAGCAGGGGTGTTGAGGGTTTGGCATGAGGAATGGTCTTAGCGACAGTGAATCCCTTGGCTCTCTGATATACACATTCTCATTTCCCTCCTTGGTTTCTAGTATCTTGACCAGCACCCTCACCCCAATCAGACAACCGTGGGCAGTGAGGAGACCACACCAGGACCCAGGGAACTTGTGGGGTCACCAACTGCCCATCTCCCTGGGGAAGCCTCTACAAGACCAAAAGCCTTTTTCTCCAAGGGCAGCAGTACATATCAGGTAGAAAGCCAAGCACCAAGGTCTGAGATAATGCAATAATGAGGGACCCACAGGCAGAGGCTGGCTGACAGGGAAGGACTCTGGCTCCCCAGGGCTGACTAGAGCCAAGTGATGGCCCAGGGATGAAGACTGTACCCCAACATCCCCTGCTGGCTCCCTTCCATCTCAGTCCTCCAGTACCCAAGGCTGCCCCATTTGAAGCAGGATGACTCAGATCCCACAGCCCCCTGGCCATCTATCTTCCTGTCATATTTACCTTGCTTTTCCCTTAGGGACTTCTGGAAATTTAGTGCCTCCTTGGTGATGTCGATCTCCCGCTTGATGGCATTGATGCGTTGTGTGGTCTTGCTGGCCCTCTTCCTCCGCTCATTTAAGATGGATTTGTTTTCTTTGAAGATGCGGTTAATCTCACTACCTCGCTCGTTCTTAAAGTCCTCGAAGGCCACAGACTTGGAGGGTGGGGTGCTAGACCTGAAGACGGACAGGGAAGAGGAAGGAGAAATGGGGCAGCTGTCTTGGAGCCAGCAAGCACTTCACCTTTCTTCCTTGGGGCTTCTGTGAGCAGGAGGCCAGAATTCCTGAGCACCACCTACTCCAGACAGGAGCTCAGCTGTGTAGGAATCATTCCCTCATCTCTGTTTTACTCAGCACAAAGGGCATATGACCATTGCAGAAAATGAGGAAGCGAGGAAAAGTGTAAAAAAACAGCAAGCAAAACAAAAAACTATTCACTACCTATTGGCAACCACATTTTGGTGTATTTCCTTCAGGGATTTATTTGATAAATTTTTAAATGTTTGGAGTCATGCAGTATATAGAATTTTACATCTCACTCTTTTCACAGAAGCATTCTTTCATACTATTAAAAACTCTTTGAGAACTCTAGCTAATGAGATGTAAGATGAAGTGTTGGGGCAGGGGGAAGTGGATTGTCTGCAACTTACTTTGAAATGCATCAAAAAATAAGATGGATGGAGAGAAAGATGGACACATGATGAAATAAGTATAGTAACACATTAATTGTAGAATCAAGAAGGTGTTGACTGTACAATTCTTTCAACTTCTCTGAATGTTTGGAAATGTTCGCAGGCTGAGTAAAAAAGGGCTTCATGCACATCCTTGTACATTTCAAGGGCAGAGATGATAATTCACTTGTGCCCTTTCCCTAATGTAGGCTATTGAAGGTTTTCAGAAAAAAAACTTTTTGATTTTTTAAATTAATGATACAATGAACTTCTTTTTGCATAAATCTTTGTCCACATCTCTAATTATTTCCTCAGGATAGATTCCTAAAAACTCAATTACTGACTTACAACAGAGAGGGACTGGCTGTTTGGAGGAAGGGGTCTCAAACCTTGAGAATTTTGTACCTTTTGAATACATTACTTACTCAAAAAATATGTAAATTTAATTATTTAAATAATTGCTATTTGGAGGCTCTAAAATGATTCTGTGCATAATTGTGTATCTTGGATGACTCCTGAGGTTGGATCATCTCACATGTGTATAAGCCATCATGTTTCTTCTTTTAGGACTGTGCTCCCAGTCTTTCCCCACTATCCCCTATTTTATTACTCTTCTATCTGTAAGCACTCTTTACGTGTTGAGGATCACACTCTGGTTTTGGATGATCTGGTGCAGGAGCTAGCGTTAGATGGTCACCTGGGTGGGCGTAATTCTTCCTTTGGGGAGTCCGAGGGAAGGGGCTCGATGTTGGAGGTCTCCCGGTCCCGCAGAAGCATGTCTTTGATATCCCCATCCTTGGAGGATGGGGTCAGCTGAGTCTTAGAGAAAGAAACATCCAAGTCTTTGCCACCCACAGGGCTGCTGGCACCTTCCTTTCTTGCAGAGGAGCTGGAAGGAGAAGACAGGGAGACCCCAGGGCTCAGTCATGGGCAGTGAGGTGTCTCCAATGAGGTAAGGTGTGACCTCCAGTGAGGTGTCACTGCAGGGAGTGACCTTTGTCAGCCCTCATACATCAGAGGCCCCAACCCACTCAGCTCCCATACTGATCATATACTTAGGCCAAAGGGCAAAGAGTAGGACCATAAGCCACGCAGATGGGGAGGAAGAGGAGAGCATTTTTCTCCCTTTAATCAGCACAAGGAGCCCTCCCTTCAGCAGTCTCGGCAGGAGACACCTGGGAAAAATGGGCAGTCTCCAGGTTTGAAAGCGTGTGGACCTGCTGGGTGGGCCATAGGCTCCCAGAAGCATCATGACTGTTGAGATATTAGTTACACAGGCGTCTCTGGGAAGGAGTAGCAGAGCCCCCACCCAGGGTGGGTCTGTCTGCGGGCCAATGGTAAAGCAGGACAGGTTTGCCCTGCTACTCTGACCAGTCCACAACCTGCTCTCCCCGCCTACATCAGTGTCCACACCAGTTCCCAGGAAAGTAGCCACCCTCCCTCTCCAAGTGATGGTGCCTAGGGTCCTCCCTCCTAGAGAGGCACATCTGAGCAGGCCTCAACTGACAGGAGGATGCCCCCAGCTCTTTCCACCGTTTCCTCCCCTCTTCTTCCTGCAACAAATGTAGGTTGGGTAACTAAGCCTCGATCCATGTGTTATTGCACTGGTTACCTGGTGGCAGAACAGAGAGGGCTAGGGGTAACTGCCCTTCTTGAAGAGGCAGGAAGAGGCCAGGGGCATCTGCAATCCCTGCTGCCCGACTCCTGTCCTGCGTGTGACAGTTTTCTATAATCAGCTTTGGCCCGTGTCCTTTTACAAGTGATAGTAATGGTTAACATGTTCCTATTGAGTACTTTCCAGGGACAGGGACTGCACTCACTCACTTATCCTCACAATGACCCCAATGACTGTGATGCAATTATTATTATTATTCCCATTTTCGGGATGAGGAAATGGAGATACATGCCTCACACAAGGTGCCCCTTGGGTGAAAGAAGTACAGAGCAGGGAGGTGAGCCTAGGTGTCACCTCTGGAGCCTGTGCTCTTGCCCACTGCTACACAGCACCTCTTGGGGACAGTGGCTCATTAAGTGAACCTTGACACTCTTCCACCTTGCACACAACAAATGAGTCTTGCCTGAAATGTGAATTGGTGTTTTTAGGTGACATGACTGCCAGTTATCTGGGTCAGAGAAAGTCTCTGGTTGGGGTGGGGGTTTCCACATGAAGTACCAGATGGTGAGTGCTGGCCCAGCTTCTCACTTCAACTCTACCACTCATCAGTGGTGTGAACTTAGAAGTAACTTTCCAGGGCCGGCCCTGTGGCTTGGTGGTTGAGTGCGCGCGCTGCGATGCTGGTGGCCCGGGTTCGGATCCCGGGTGCGCATCGAGGCACCACTTCTCCGTTCATCCTGAGGCCGAGTCCCACATACAGCAACTAGAAGGATGTGCAGCTACGACACACAACTATCCACTGGGGCTTTGGGGGGAAAAAAATAAAATAAATAAAATCTTAAAAAAAAAAAAAAGAAGTAACTTCCCATCTCTGAGCCTCAGTTTCCTCATCAGTAAAATGGAGACATTAATTCCCACCTTATGGAGTTGCTGTGCAGATGAGAGGTGACTAGCTCCAGCCTGGGCCCCACAGATGGTGCTAGTATTGGTAGCAGTGATATTCACTGTGACCACCCAGTAGCTAAGACACCAGGAGGAAGATGGGGACAGCTTATGTCCTCCCTTTCACCAGCCAAGGAGGGCCAGGTGCTGAACAGGCAGAGTAGCAGGAAGGTCACTCACCTGAGCTGCTCTTTGAACGTCTTCCTGGACTTGGATTTCTTCCCAGGTTTGGTAGAGAAAGGGGCAACCCCAAGTCCGAAGCTTTGTCCGTCAGGCTCCCCTACTAGGTGTCCATCAACATCCACAAGCCCTGCCTGGATAGAGGCCAGCCGCAGGGCGAAGGGTTAGATTAAGAGTTTGGGCCCCTCGGGGACCCAAGTGTATATGAACTGAAGGCTCAAGTGGGCATGTTCATCCCACACACCAAGATGTGGCTGCTGCTGCTGCTAGCTTCAGGCTGTCTCTGACCACCCTACCATACGTCCACTTGCCGTATCAACTCCTCTCACTGATCTGGGGTCTCATTCCATATCCTGAGGATTTTAAGGCCTGTTTCCAACCTAACTCCAGGAATTGGTCTTCTTTATTATTAGCCACATCTCCAATTTTGGAGATCATTTTGAATTCATATTTGGTTTACTCTTGCAGGGGTCACCCCATGTTCATCCTGGTGTTACTTTTATCTGTTGCAACCCTAGATCTGCTTTAATGCAGAACACTTGCTGCCTCTGGAAAGGTCTGGGGATGGAAAAATCTGACATGAGTCATGTCAGCAAGAGGAAACCGTGCCTACCTTCTGGACAGCAGAAATGGCAGCAAAGTCATTCTTGTCTATGAGAATGTACTTCTTGCGTAAAGCTGACTCCACTTCCTGTTCCTGTTGGCTTGGGAGAGAGAGTGAGAGAACACCTCGCACCTGGGGCCATGCTGAACCCTCTAGAGCAAGAACCAAGTACTGGACTTACAGGATGTTTGGGTGTGGCCCCCTTGTGATTGAGCCACATCCTTATCATGAACGAGACCAGACTAAACAAGCTCATTTCATGCCCCCAACTGCCCAGTGCACACACCCATTGTTCAGCCCAAAAATCTGCAGGGGCTGCCCTTATGTGCCAGGCAAATCTGCTCCAAAATGATTTTAACAAGGACCATAAGCCTGCCTCGGGACCAGGTTTCCCCACCTGGGTTCTGTTTCTAACAGGACCTTTGGAATCATGTGATCAGCTTCTGTGATGCCACCCAGCATGAGCCACTCAGGCTACAGGGATGTCTGCATCCAAATAAACCACAAACACTTCCTGAGGTGGGGGTGGGGGAGCAGGGAGTCTTCACGATGCCCTGCTCTGGCCACGCTCAGGCCTGGCACATCATAAAGACCTCCTGTCCAATTAATGAACTCAGGAAACATCCTCCAGGGACCGCCTCCTCTCTGAGTAGCTCTCAAATGGAGGGCTGTCCTCCCCACCTCCCCCAGGGGAAGTGAAGGGCAGGAGGATCTGAGAGCTCAGGGGCAGACACTGTCAGGGACACCAGGGGTCTGGGCACACCCTGAGGACTCTGATCTGGCTCCTCACACACGAGAGACAAGGCGGTGCGCTTGGAGGCCACATCCAGACCAGGCGAAATGAAAATGACAGCCTCATGTAGGAGTTGGGTGGGTAGGGAAGATGCCTTACCTCAGAACCACCCGGAACTGGTTGAACACCTCCTGGATCTGTCTCAGGTTGATTATCTGGACGGAAGAGAGCAAGGCAGAGGTTAGACCTCGGGCACCACAGAACTGAGGCTGTGTCTATGTCAGTAGAGAAACCAGGACCCCTTGGTTAACCCTTTGACCATCTGTCCTGAGAATGGAACATCCCTGCAAAGAGCCTCTCAGTAGAGTGGCAGTGAAGCCCTCCTCAAGAACAGAGAAACACCTGATTAATAGTTTTTCAAACTAAGTATTTACTGAGGCTATAAAAATCACCTTTTCTAAGTGATGATCTCTATAAAATTAAAATGATTTTAGTTCTTGAAAATACTAAAAAAATTTTTAATAAAATTTATTGTCCTCAGCTCTCTCCTGCTTCCGAAAGGCTCCATTATGAACTTTTCTGTGTGGGGTACAGACACATACAAACCTGTGGCTAGAGGAAGGCCACTGACCTCCCTCTTGGCCCTCTAGCCCACAGGCATCACCCTTAACTGAGGGTCAGTCTGGGGTTGCCCCTGCTGGGAAGGCCGGAAAAAGCCCACCCCTCAGTTTTCCTAGGCTGTCTCTTGCAGCTGCCCATGTAGCTCCCTGAGGAGGAGTTTGCTGGCCTGCACTATAAAAGCAGAATGCATCTTTCCCCCTGAGGGCCCTTCCCTGTGTAGCCGCTGTCTCTTCCTCCTTGGCCCTGGGGGTCTGCTTTGTGGACAGCCAGCATGACCATCATCCTTTAACAGCCTTACTCTGCCTGGCAAAGCCAAGCACCTGAGGTGCTGTAGCTCAGTTAATCCCAGCTCGGTTTCCCTCCCCACTGTACAGACGAGGCCACCAAAGTACACAAGGATTGAGCATTTTGTTGAAGTCACAGCAAGGAGACAGCTGAACTGGGATTTGATCCAGGGCAGCCTGGCTCCAGAGCCCGAGCTTGTGTGCCCAGTGATGGACCACCTCCTGTGCGTTCAAGGCTGCTGGCCACTCTACGGGGCACCCACAGCCTTGTAACCCTAAACATGGAAGCTGAGGCCTTGGTGGGCTGAAGGGCCCCTAAGGCCAGGAGTCCAGCACCACCCACCCTATGCCCACTGCACATGTGAGGCTCCAAGGCCATCACAGCACAAATGAGGGTGTGCCCAGGACAGGAAGGCCCAGGCCAGCTGGGCATGGTGGTCCCAAGGAGGGGCTCCTTACATCCATCTCGTCCAACGTCCCCTCCAGGTACCTCCGCACCTGGGAGTTGATCTCAGCAATCTGGATTTCATCCATGGGGTCGTAATTCACAAGGGTGCGGTTGGCCTTGGAGGAGGATGAAGAACATGGTGATAAGCTCCAAGCACCTGAGCCCAAGTAGGGGTGGCAGGGGTCATTCTGAGAACCAAGGTGGGGAGGTTGGGCATAGGCCCTGGCCACCCAAGCCAGCTCCATTCCCTTCACCATCGGGTCCTGGCAGAAAGGGCCTGACACACAGGCCAGGTGCTCAGGTCAGCAAGGGACAACTGGGTCAGGCAGAAAAGGAAAGGGCTTGCTACTCCAAGCAAGGAGGTTCTGCTGGCTGAGTCTCAGCAGACTGTAGATGAGAGCCATAGGAGGAAGGTGGCTGCCTCTGTCTTGAGGCCCCTCTGGACCATGAGCATCAGCCCAGGCAGGTCACTGGAGGACTCCTACCCCTGCCCCCTGCCCACTTGGCTCCCTGTTGCTGCCCCTCCCCCCCCACCCAGCCTGCCCCACCTTCCCTGACCTTGACCCATCCTGCTATCTACCCCTGTACTTCTACCTGCCAGGTCCCTGGCCCCCTGCCCCTCATCCTCCTGCCTACTGCCTGTCTCTGCTCCCTGACCATCTGACACCTCTGCCCACATCCTCCTGCTCTTCCAGGACCCCTGCCCACCAGGCATTGCTGGCCCCCTAGACCTCTGCCCCCACCCTGGGTCTCCCTGCCCACTTGGCCCTGCTATCCATCTGGTCCCCTGTCCACCCAGTCCCTCTGCCTACCCACCCCCTTCTACCCACCCAGCATCCCTGCTCTGACTCCCTTGCCCCCTTCTCACATAGTCCTTCTGGCCACCCCACCCCATCCCCGCCTCTAACCCCTTACCAAGCTGTCATGGATGGCTAGCTCCTGCTTGAGCAGTGCCAGTTCTTTTTCCAAGTTCTTGACCATTCGCTGCCAGGGAAACATAATTGGGGGGTGGGCAGGAGACCGGTCAGAGGCCACCCTGCCTCCCCAACATCAAGCCCACAATTCCCCACGCAGTGCTTGCACATCATGGCCCTTCTTGGTAATCCATGGAGTGTGATCTCAGCATCTGGACGGTTCCCTCCCCACTGGTGACTTTTCCCCAACTGGGGTGAATTTAGGGTCTGAGGGGGCCTCAGCAGTCCCCTGGCCTCTGCCTCTTACAGCAGAGAAGACTGAGAACAGAGTGAGCACAGGCACCCATAGGGCCACCTCAAACCCCAACTCTCAGAAGCTCCAGGACATTTCCAGTCTACCAGGGTAATGGTCCTCTCAGTGCAGCCCTTTCCTCCAGGATGCCTTCCATGCTTGGTCTCACCTTTCACCCTCCTCCTTCCCAACCACTGTACAAATGTACCACCATTCCCCACTGATAATCATGTATGTCACCTCTCATTTTTTGCTGCCACAAACAATGCTGCAAGAACACCTTTGCACTTATAGCTTTGTGTTCTTATAGGTTTCTGTAGGGTAACACAGCGCTCTACAAGGCTCTCCGCAATCTGCCCCTGTGACCTCTTTCCTCCTGCTGTCCCCCAGCTCACTGCACTCCCACCACACTGGCACACTCCTGCCTCTGCACTGCCTGTCCTCTCTGCCTGGGACAGTCTTCTCCAGGTATTTCCATGGCTCACTCCCTCACCTCCTTCAAGTCTTTGTTCAAAAGCTTCTAAATTCACCCCCGTAAAACTGCAATCCCCTCCCCACCCCACACCTTCTTTCTTAAAATCTTGCTCTACTTTTTTCATAGCACGTATCACCAACATACCCTAGAGCAGTGCTGTCTAACATAACTTTCTGTAATGATAGAAATGTTCTATATCTGTGTCACAAGGCACATATAGCTATTGAACACTTGGAATGTGACTAGTGTGACCACGCAAGTTTTTAATTTTATTTAATTTTAACTAATTTAAGTAGCCACATCTAAGAAGTAGCTACTGTATTGGACAGTAAAGCTCTAGAACTCACCTATTTTGGTTTTTTTAATGTGTTTTTAAGAAAAATTATATATATTTAAGGTGTACAACATGATGTTTTGATATACATATACATAGTAAAATGATTACTAGTTAAGCTAATTAACATACCCATCGCCTCACCTAGTTACCATTTTTTGTGTGTGATAAGAGCATCCGAGATCTACTTTTTTAGCAAATTTCCAGTATACAATACAGTATTATTAACTATAGTTACCATGCTGTACATTAGATTCCCAAAACTTATTCATATTATAACTGAAAATTTGTACCCTTTGACCAACATCTCCCCATTCCTCAGCCCCTGCCCCCCATCCCCACTCTTGGTAACCACCACTCTACTCTCTGCTTCTATAAATTTGACTATTTTATTTTGGGTTCCACATGTACATGAGATCATGCAGTATGTTTCTTTCTGTGTCTGGCTTATTTCACTTAGCATAATGTCCTCCAGGCACATCCACATTGTTGCAAATGGCAGGATCTAGAATTGACCTATTTCTTATGTTTATTATATCTCTCTCTCCCATCCCCAGCAGACTGTCAGCTCTTCAAGGACAGAGATTTGTGTTTCTTTTTGTACACTAACGTATCCCAAGTGCTTACAAAAGTACCTGGCACACAGTAACTGCTCCATAAATTTTAGACGAATGGATAAATGATACATTTCTAGAAGCAGAACTGCTAAGTCATTTACACAAGGGACTTCATGCTGAGGACCCTCACTGTGAACAAGGCTTCCTTTAGTTGTCAAAAAATGGCCACTGGAGGGAGCCCCTGACAGCTGGATCCCAGGACTGGTGACCAAAGCTGTGACCAGTCTGCAGTAAGGGGTGACAGAACCCTGGCGTCCTGGTGGCTCTGTGGCAAATCAGGGCACAAAGCCTGAATTCAAGGCACATGACCAGGGTCCAAATTCTGGCTCTGCCCTTCTGGGAAGCCTCAAGATAGTCCTTCAGGTGGACTTCCTATGAGGTGAATGGGAAAGACTTGATGGCCAGTCCCTACTCATTCCCATCCCCTCCTCCCAGCTGAGGGATCTCAGCTCTAGAAAATGCCTCATGCCCCAGTTAGGAAAAGTCCAGCTGAGCTGTTGGGGGCCTCCAGCTGGATGACTCTGTCCAATGTAGCACAGAGAGCCAGGCTTAGACCTCTGGGCCAATCAGGTGATGTGGGGAAATGGGCCATTTGCTCCTACAGGTCACCAGCCTCCATGTCGCACCCTGAGAGCATGGGAGCCAATTCCCCTAATACCTGGCAGGCTTAGTGGCCTCCAACTTGCCCTCTTCTACTGACTGGAGAGAAGCTGCTTGGAAACACAGGGCTGAAGCAGTAGACCCCACGGAACAGGGTTTAGCAGCACCACCTGGCTGACCAACTCTCTTATAAAAATCAGGGGCATTTTCTGGATGGAAAAAAAATGCCTTGAAAACAGCACAGACTCACCTAAGTTCCCTGATAGTGAGGTGTTTCCATCAGAAATGTAATGAGGATAATTCAGAGAGTTCTGCTTAGGTCCCACACCAGGCTGGGAGCAACTCTTGGCCTAAGAAGTTTCCCTATTTTGACCCCATTGCAGCCTCCAGGTGTATTTCCTCTTGGCAGAGTAGGATATCCCAGGTTTCTCTTTGCTGACTGTCTATGGCCATGGCTCACCACCTTCACACCACCTCACAGAATCACAGACTAACCAAGTGGGTGGGTCACTGGAGGTTATCAGTCCAACCTCCTAATTCACAGATGAATACCCTGAGGCTCCGAGTCTGAGCAACTCATCACAGAGAGCTAGCAGCAGAGGTGGATCAGGAACCCAGTCTCCTGTCTGACAGCCAGCCCCACCAGCCAAGGAAATTCTGCAGACCCTGTTCCACCTCCTTATAAACAGGCATCAGTACTGAAGATGGTGCTGGAAACAACCTGGCAATACAGGCTACAGTCCAGGAAAGGTGAAAACCAAAACAATTTTCCATGTCTCTCTCAAGAACTCATGCTTATAAAGGAAAATGCTTATCACAAAGATTATAAACACATTCACATTTGATGACATGGAGACTTGGCTGTCCAGGACCAACAATGCAGATTTCAGAACAGAAATTACATTGAAGAGCACGAAAGTCCTTGCTGTCAGGCGCAACAACCACCCAGCCAGGTTCACAGGTGGTAATGTGGTAGTCCTGAGCTAAGAGAACACCAAATATGAAAAAAAGAAAAATAAATAATAAAAGCTTTAGGATATAGAAAAGCATAGAAAATAATGCCATGAAACCTGAGAAAACCATCCCCAAACCTAATTTTAATAGCATGCTGCCGTATTGGCTTCAGTTTGTTTTGGGTTTTTTTATAGAAATAAAACGTTTCAGATAAATGTGAAGCCTCGATGCACCCCAACTGAAGTCCATTCCCCCTGACATCCAGAGGTAAACTCCAGCATCAGTTTGGTCTTTTCACTCCCACATATTTACTGCACATATATATATCCATTAATGATAATCAGCATTGCTTTGCATGTTTTTATACTTGGTATAAATGATAGATGCTACCATTCAGTCCACTTCAATCCCCAAGTCGTTTTCTCACTTGATATTATCCATGCTCATAGCTCTAACTCTGGCTCCCGCCCTCCATAACTCATTTAGCTACTCTCCTATTAAAAGCTACTGATCATGTTCCTAACTTTTCACTATTACATTAAGCAGTGCAAGCACCGTCTTCTATGAGTCTCTTCAGGTGACACTGCCTTTAGACTCTATACCTAGAAGTGACCCTGCTGACCTGTAGAAGTGAGTAGAGTGCTAGCTAACACTTACTGAGCGTTTACTCCATGACAGCACTGTGCTGAGAGATTTCTACCTATCTTATTCTTCACAACATCTCTTTGAGAGTGGCTTCTGTTATTCCCTCAATTTACAAATGAAGACACTGAGGCTTAGAAAGAGTAAGTATCTTGCGAAGGCTATACAGTTGATGAAGGAAAGAATAGGTTGCTGAACCAGGACAGCCCAATGCAGGGGCCAGGGCTCTGAACTACTGTGCCAGTGGTTCTCAAGGTGTGGCCCCGGAATACCAGCAGCAGCAACACTGGGGAACTTATTAGAAATGCGAATCCTTAGACCCCACCGCAGACCTACAGAATCGGGAACTCTGGGAATGGGGCCAGTGATCTGTGGTTCAACAAGCCCCCTGGGTGATTCTGATGTCCGCTCAAGTCTGAGAACCACTGCTCTAAGCTCTCCTCCCTCCTCAACCTCCAAACCATGGGTTAGTTCCACAGAGCCACAGGGACTGTTATTTTCCTTCAGGATTTAGAATCTGGAAGGTTTAACTCATGGGTTTGTCATGAGCTTACAGCATGCATATGCTTCTGTCTCCAGTAACTGTGATTCCATGCACATCTTAAAGGAAAGCGAAATTATCGATAAATATGTTTTTACTTCACTAGACGTTGCCAAAATGCTCTCCAAAGTGGTTGTATCAGTTACACTCTGCCCAGAAATAGGAAAGTGTTCCTGTTTCTACACATTCTCACCATCATTTTGCATTGTCAGGAAAATTCTAATTTTTGCTTGTCTGAGAATGGAACTCCACTAAGGTTTTAATTTGCATTTCCTTGGTTAATGGTGATGCTGAGCATTCCCTCTGACTGGGGAGGGATCATTAGCTTCGCTTGCTGGGAGGGATCACTCAGGCTGGGAGGAAAGAGGTCCTGTAGTGACATAACCAGATAAGTCTGAGACATGGTCTAGTCCACACTGATTTTGCTCTGAAGCAGCTGGCTCTTAAGGAACTCTCATACAGAAGCCCAGGGTACTTGGAGGCCCTGAAGCTCACAGGTGAACTGGCGACGGCCTGATCTAGACCCTTCACCTTTGTGGCAGCCTCCAAGGGGGTCTCCAGGGACTCTGAAGACTCTGGCCTATCCCAGAATGGAAAGGGACTGACCCAGGATTGCATGGACATCTTTCACTAAGGCTGGAAGGGAAGCGAGGCTTGTGTGACCTAGGCAGCAAACCCACACACCTTCCCCACAGTGAGACACCTGCCCACAAGCCCCTTAGTACCTCAGCGTCATACTTTTCATTGATGGCAGGCTCAGTGGTGATGAGCTTCATCCTGCTGGCAAACCTCAGTGAAGACAGCTGAAAAACAGATCAGACAGACCTCTATGTTTTTGGCCAATTACTTGTGAGTCAAAATATTTGCAAAACAAGTAAAAGGAGTCCACTAGGAAAGACGAATCCCTGCGCAGAGGCACGCTCCAATGTGGACTGCAGTGTCTCCTGGGCCCATGGAGTGACGTCTGGGGGGTCCTGCCCGAGTCCCTCTGGAGGGGAAGCCAGCAGGGGTAATTATGGCTGGAGGTCCAAGAGGTGGCTACGTAAGCAGCCACTTGGGAAACAGCCCCAACACTGTACCCCACTGCACTGATGTCACAGGAAGGGTGGAGGGCTGCTTCCTGGCAGTGAGGTGCAGCCAGTGGTGGTACAAGGCAGGCCCTGAGGTCCCAGCTTCACACCACACTGGGCTGACTCGGGGCCCTGAAACAGGAAAGCAGACTTGGAGGGGGCTCAGTCACCAGAAGTGGCCCAGAGGAAGGATTGAAAGGCTCTTCCTTTGGGCAGTCTGGTCTGGTCATTAAAAACTCTGCTAATGACAAACTGCACAACCTCAGACAGGTCTTGTAATTTCTTTGTAAAGTTGGGGAGACCTGCCTTACAGGGTCATTGGGAGACTTGGTAAGGAGGTGTGTAATGTGCTCTGGACAGAACTGGCCCATAGAGAGCCCTCAGGAAGAGGCCCCTGTCATTACAACCCTGTCATTGAGGTTGCTTCTGTGTAGGGTGAAATCAGACTCTCCTGCTCCAAGCACAGCACCAAGTATGGCCAGGACCCCCTCAATCAAGGTTACTCCTACACACACACACACAGTCACTGCATAAAGCAACACAATCCATGACAGGAACAGTTTTCAAGTTTTAAAACATTTGGAGAAGAGAATCATTAGCTTCCACACCCCCAATATGTCTTTGTCCCAAACCTCTGAGAATCCTTCAGCAGCTCCTCCAGGCTCTGTGGGCTCAGTCCAGGGCAGAGATCCTGAGCGGTGTAGGCATAAGCTTCTGGGGATGGCAGGTACCAGGAGAATTGCTTCTCGTGCAGTGACCATCTCAGGGGTGGGGATAAGTGGAAGAGAGGCCTTCCACTGTCTTGGAGGACATCTTTCTTAACCAGGTAGCCAGGTGGCCCAATATATCATATGGCTTCTCTTGGGGTTCCCATGCTTTATTATACTATAAGACCAGGAGGTTCCTGAAGCCTTCCTCTGGGGATGCTGCCTGCATGTCAGCTGGAGCTCCCCTCCTTGGCCTCCCAAGTCCCAGGGCACTGGGTATGTGACAGGAGAACTCCCCCTGGAAGCTGGGACAGTCCCTAATGCACGAAGCTGGGAGGCCCTGCAGGAGTGTCTTGCCCTGCAGTGTTCCTGGAAATGACCTGTTTCACCTAAGTGGATTCTCCAGATGACTAAAGCTTGCCCTAAACATTGAGAAGCAAAATGTCTAAGGAGAGCTTTCCAAACCTGTTGTATTTATGATGGGTGGCCCTTCAGAGGAAGGGGGGAGCCCCAGCCTGGGTTCACCCAGCGGTGTGGGTTCACCTGTGTCACTGCCTTAGCCCGTTTTCCTACCCCTGGTTCTCATAAGTGTCCCCCCTCCCCAGGTCACCTGTGTCCTGCTGCTGAGTTAATCTCCCTGAATCACAACTTTGGTCACAGTCCTCCCCTACTCCAACCCCATGACAGCCCAGCCACCTGCAGAACAGTCAGACCTTAGCCTGGCCACCAGGGCCTATCCAGCCTCTGAGTTTTTTCTTCTTCCTCTCTTTCCTGAGTCGTCTCTTGCAGTGGCCAGATGTTCCTGGCATGGGCTACACCTTCAGGTCCACAGTTTCCTCTGCCAGTAAGATCTCTGCTTTCCCTACCACCAAGCCAGCTCAGTGTCCACCTTCCTCATTCTAGCTTCAGGAAAAAATCCGTGCTCCTCTGAAGGACTCCTACATCTGGGCCTTTCACAGTACTTAGGGTGATTGTTGGGAACTCTGAGCCCCAAGGCCATGTATGACTCATCTCTACCAAGCTGCCCTCTGACTACTTTGTACATGGCAGGTGCTTAATACCTACCATAGCCTGGAACCCTGGGTTGTTTTCAAGATTTTAAAACATGTGTGATTACGAAGTACAAGGAATCAGCTGTCCTTCCTGACTCCAATTCACAGGAGCAGCACCCCAGAAAGCATGGTCCTTGCCCCCACAAGGGTCCTGGCTCTCAGCCTCCTCTCCTCGCATAGGCCCCCATACTGAGCCTGCCTTCTGCCTTGCTAATTCCTTGACATAGCTTCTGCCCCTTGGTACTCGGTATTTGGATCCTGGCTGGGCCCCCTCAGCAATTTTGGTTCAGACTCATCCCCCGGATCCCTCCTCTCTTGACAATGTCTATGGTTAGTGTGCCAGTTTAGCCAGCCCAAAGCCAGCCTTACCCAGCCCTGGCACCCACGAGGAGGGAATCCAACCTGGTCACATTGGCTATCTTTACATACCGTCTCTTCTAACTGGGCGGCGTCTCCATAGATGTTTGTCACGAGGACCATACTGCAATTTCCCCCTGCAGAGAGCAGGACACAAAAGGGCCATGAACCATGTGGGTTTTCTGCCAGGAGATTCCTTTGAGGCTGGTGGGCCTATTAGGGACTGAATGTTTGTGTCCCCTCAGAATTCAAATGTTGAAGTCCTAACCCCAATGTGATGGTATTTGGAGGTGGGGTCTATGGAAGGCAATTAGGTTTAGATGAGGTCATGAGGGTCGAGCCCCCACAATGGAATTAGTGCCCTTATAAGAAGAGAGACACCAGAGCTCTGACTCTCTTTTTGGCCTCTCTCTCTCTTTTCTTTCTCTCTTTGCTATGTGAAGACACAGCAAGAAAGTAGCCATTTACAAGCCAGGAAGACAGTCCTTATCAGGAACCATCCCTGCCGGACCTTATCTGGGACTTCCAGCCTTCAGAACTGTGAGAAATAAATGTCTGTTGTTTAAGCCACCTAATCTGTGGCACTCTGTTATAGCAACCCAAGCTGACTAAAACAGGGTCAGAGAGGACACACCCAAGCACGTATGAGGCTGGGAGGCACGGGGAAGAGGGAGAGAACCAGGAGAGGCTGCCAGATGTACCTAAAAGAGGAGCCAGGGGAACAGCAGAGGAGAGATGACATGGGGCGTAGAGGGGCAGGGGAGAGGGCTGTGGGCCAGGGTTTTGCTCACGGTGGCATTCATTTAAAAATCAGACACCAACATGAAAGCCTGGGGACACAAAGTACGACAAGACACAGCCCCTGCTCCTCTGTTGGGGAGGCTGTAGGGGAAGAGAAGACATCATGGGAGAGGCCCTTTACCTGGGTCTTCAAGGCCATGAAGGATTCTGGCAGCTGGTTTAGGGACGAGGGGAAAGGAGAAGGAATCCCCAGTAGAAGCAAAGCTTAAGCAAAGATTCTAAGGAGTGAACAGCATAGCATGTCATGGGTGAAAGAAGAGGGCACTATGCTTGATTCTGCCTTTTCCAGTGTGTCTGAGGTCCCTGCCACTGGGAGGGAGCAATTCCATTATCACCAGCAGCAGATGCCCCAGGCCTGTTCCTCCAGCCTGTGCACCAACCACACCCTCACCTAATGAGTCCTTCAGGGCGTGGGTGAGCTTGCACTGCCGGAAGGGGATGTGGTCCCGCTTCTGGTCCCCGAGGGCAATGATGGCCTGCTCCAGGAATGACAGTGACTTGTTGATGTAGGTAGCTTCCTTCAGGACTCGGCCCTCAGACTACAAACGAAAGGGCAGTTCCGCTTCAGACCAAGTGGAGAGGCTGCCCCACTAACAACACTGCAGGTCTGTAGCCAGACCAGAGCCTCCTTCCCAGAACTAGGGTCTTCCCTCAATGTCATGGGATTGCATTCTATCTTGGACTAATACTAATACCCATAGGAACACTCATGCAAATATTCACGTGACCACTCAAGTGAATATGAATGCCTACATGAATATTCATATGAATACTCGCTTAAGATTCACACTAATATGAATACAAATAGGAATATTTGTACAGATACTTGAACAAATAATCTTGTGAATATCCACACAAATACAAACATTCATAGGAATGCTCATCTGAATACTCTTGTGAATACTTAACGCTAATAGTCACACTTATATGAATACTTGAGATGAAATACTCATGCCAATACTCATGTGAACACTCACACTATACACAGAGAAATGCTAATACTAGCACGGAGCATTTACTGAGCACTTACTGAGTCCCAGGCACCTTGCTAAGAATTTAGGGGCTATCATCTCATTTAATGTTTACCAAAATACTGTCAGGTAGGAACTGCCTCTATGTAGCAGCTGTTCCACCTCTGCTAATTCTGTCCCTCCAGCTCCTCAGGGTCAAGCTCACGTGCTCCACTGCGCCTAGCTCAGGACTGTGCTCATGAATGCCCAATGAGGATGGCCCAGGTGCATGGGCCCCATGCTGGAAACCCGGCTGTGGCTTGCTGAGAAGCAACCTCCTCCTCCCTGCACTTACCCCAGACTTCCCCAGCCTTTCTGAGCCTGCTAGATCCACCAAGTTAATTTTGGAAGTGATATACTTTTCATCTGATAGTGTCCGCGAATGGGCCTATGAAACATCCAAACAGAGGTTAGATTGTCACAGGTAGAAGCTTCTGACCAAGCAGGCCCCATGGGAATCTACAACCCCTCCCATGCTGATCAAAGAGCTCGAATGTACCTCCACGTAGATGGTGAAAATGCAGTGTGACCTGGATGAGTTTTTGTTCATCGTGTGGGAGGCTATAATCCTGTTGGTCTCTCCCTAAAGAGGAGGGAAAACGTAGACAATATTTTGAAAAATTAAAATAACAAAGCATTTGGGTCATTTTTCAACTATACCAACAGCTATACAAGTGATCTCATATCACTGCAATCAGCCAGGCCCTCCAGGCAAATCTCATTTATAAACTAGTAGAAGGAGAGCTCAATTGGAGTCCAGACCTATACTTTCACCCACTGCTAGGGACCTGTGATTTCGTACAGCTTTCTGAAAAGCAAAGTGGCAACAAGAACTAAAAGCCTTAAAAATGTTCATGAATATTGAATTATAATCAATCCAAAAATCCAACAATTAGGGAATGATCTATCTATGCAATGTGATGTAGCCAGGAGAATGCTGACAAATAGTTTTTAATAACAGAGAAATGCAAAATTATAGCAAAGTGACTTCAACAGCACGTTAAAAGGTTCATATACTGGGACCAAGTGGGATTTACCCACGGGAAGCAAGGATGGTTCAACATACACAAATCAATCCATGTGATAAGCCACATTAACAGAATGGACAAAGGACAAAATCATGTTCTGGTACACTCTAAGGAATGCAAAAACATTCATAGAAGAAAGAATAAACAGATGCTGCTACCAAGATGTTAAGAATGGTCACTTCTGGGTTGAGGTTTATAGGTCATTTTTCCTTTTTTATACAGGTTTGTGCTTTCATATTTTTTTTACAGTGAACATGTAGTACTTTTAAAAATTAGGAATAATCAATAATTTGTATTTTTAAAGGGACAGCAGGCCCTTGCCTCTAATTCACAGGATTGGACCCTGTGGCCAGAATACACTTAAAAGGAGGTATGATGGAAATGGCTATTCTTAGAGAAAAAGGTCCTTGTGGGAGGGACTCCTATCTCCTTAAAGGCCCCTGAGAAATGCTATGAACAAGCCACAAAGCAGTGATACCATGGCCCCCTGGGAAGACTGGAACACCTGAAGAGGAGGGGAGGCCCTGGGCTGTGGAGCAGGCCTGACTGACCCCGGTGGCTATATCGCTACAGCCTCTCACTGTCTACCTGTCCTACAAATTCAATGACATGTGCCAAGAGTATAGGGGGTCACTTCACCTTTATCCTTCAGTCCCCTCTTTCTGAAGGGCTCTCTTCCCTTGTCTTTCTGGCTTCTATTAAGTAATCTCTGAAGGCCAGAGAAGTGCCCTTTCCTCCATTAAGAGTCCTTTGCTGTCTGCTCCCACCCCAGCCCATATCCATCCAGGAGCGTGTCACTCCTGGAGCACAGCTCACACTGTGCCCTGGTCTTCATGGATTTCTCCCTCTCCCTTCCCCACTCCACAGTGAGCTTCTTTAGGCCTTGAATTTGTCCTTCTACCATCGGAGCTCAGCAAGGACGTGTTCCTGCAAAGCATCAAGGTTTGAGGAATTATTGCTGCTAACAGAATGCCTGGTTCAATTCTAAATACAAGGGCTCGAACAATACCAATCATGCTTTTTAACAGCATCCACTGAGCATTTATCATATGCAAGGCCCTGAGGTAGATGCTCAAAATGCCTGATCCCAATTGGTGCAGCCATTATGGAAAACAGTATAGAAGTTCTTTAAAAACTTAAAAATAGAACTACCATATGATCCAGCTATGCCACTTCTGGGTATTTATAAAATAAATAAGTCATGGGGATGTAATGTACAATATGATGACTATAGTTAATGATACTGTATTGCATATTTGAAAGTTGCTAAGAGATTAGATCTTAAAACTTCTTATCACAAGAAAAAAATTGGTAACTATGTATGGTGCTGAATGGTAACTAGACTTATTGTGGTGATTATTTTGCAATACATACAAATATCAAATTATTATGTTGTACACCTGAAACTAATATAATGTTATATGTCAATTATTCCTCAATCATAAAAAATTCCTGATCCCATCTGATTCTCATAACAACCTTTTGGGATTGGTACTTAGTATCTCCACTTTTATAGATGAGCAAACTGGGGCTTGGAGAGATTAATGATTTGCTCAAGACAAAGGCCTCATAGCTTGAAAGAACCCTGGATTTGAGCCCAGGTCCCCCAATTCCAAGTCCTCCACCTTTTGCTCTGTATCTCAGCCCAAAACATGAAGGAGGCTTCCAGCAATACAATGGACTGAGTATTCAGAAACCCTCCTACATCTAAAGATGATAGAGTATATAAAACTTCCTTTTGAATGTATGGCTGAGTCTACAAAAAAGTAAGGGAAGTACCCAGGGGCCAGACACAAAGCAGGAGCAGGAATCCAGGAACTGTAAACAAGAACCAATGCCCTTACTGCCCTGAGGGCACCTGCAGACTGGGTGCTGCAAGGCAGTCCTTGCTGGATTTCTTGGTGTTTCTCTGAGCAATGAAATGGACATGTTATAAAGATAGAGAATATCTCCTTTTCCTCCCAGAGCCATTTGCTCTTCACATTCTAAGGGTGGTACTGGGAGCCAACTGTCTCCTCCTCCGACTTCCTCCACTCCCCATGCCCCACCCAAGCCATTTGTTCCCATTCAAAGGGTGATAAAGTCTTTCCTTCTCCTCCAGAGCCAAATGCTTAAAGCCCAGGGTTAGAGACCTTCCCCTCCTTTCCCAAGAGAGGATTTGCTTACATTTCAAAATAAAAGCATGCTCTCTCTCATTCTCCCTTTCTGTTCCTACTTGTGTCCCCCAAATCTCTCTCTATCCCATTAAGATGAGAAGGAGTAAATGTACTAGCTCCTATATAAGCTCTCAGATTCATAATTTCTGAATTCCTCTCCAATAGTACAGACACCCTTCCCCTCTGTAAACACATGTGACATCTGCCATCACTGTGTTGCTCTTTAGGGGACTGGGGTGTAGAAAATTGTGCTACAATATTACTATTGCCACTATTACCACTGTGAGGCTCTGAGTAGTAACGGTCTGATTTCCCATTCAGAGGTCTGGTGTGTGTGTGTGTGTGTGTGTGTGTGTGTGTGTGTGTGTGCGCGCGTGTACATATAATTATGGGAGGGATCCTTCACAGCTTTGGACTCAACATCTTGGAGGGACCAACATCCAATCATGCAGCTGAAGGCAGAAAAAGCTTTAGGTCTACCCAAGGGAGGCGTCTGACAACCATGTCCCTGAAGTCTATGCCCTCTGGCAAAGGAGAAATAGAGGAAAATCTACTAAAGAAAGTAAAGAGAAGGAAACTATTTTAGCACTGGCACTATCTCTAGATAGAAGGGGTAAAAAAAAAAATGTGTCTAAGAATTCACAATCACAAACTCAACCAAACACAAGATTGGGGCACAAGTATGTACTACTTATAAGTTCTGACAACCTTAAAATAAACATTTGATTTAAAGAGGCCCTGGATTGGTAACATCCCCTAGGCTCCTGAAAGAAAAAAAAAATTTTCTCTAAAGTAATATATTCTCAAAGAAGACACATCGATACAAGCTCTAAGGAAGTAGAGCTTATAATCAAATCACAAAACACACATGGAAACAAGGCACCATAAGCAAAAGTACTTCAGTAGAAAGAATACATGCAGAATTGACCCTCAAACTGCTAAGACAGTGGAATTATTAGATAAAGAATATAAAATAAGTTTACATGTTTAAAGAAATAAAAGAGAATCAAAAATATAAGAAATAAGTAAAATTCTATAAAAAATAACTAATAAGACTAAAAAAGAACAAAATGGAACTTTTAGAAATGAAAAAACATAATACTTGAAATTAAAGAGAAAATTAGATACTAATCTGCAGAGGAAAGAATTAGGAAACTAGAAAATACATCTGAAGAGATTACTCTTCCGGTTTCTGGTTCCGCATGTAAGAAGCTTGGAACTCACCACTTTATCCTAATAACAAGTAAAAAGTGGAACACACTCAAAAATCAACAACCCTTCTTAAATCTGTAAGAGAAGTGAGGTCATAAGGCAAATCATTGTCCCCAAAATTGAAGAGACAGATAGGAAGATATAGAGATTCACAACTTATCGAAGCAGAAACATCCATGGGAACCAGTGGCAGGCAGTTCCTTCTACCCAGTACATTGTATTCAGCTATCAAAAAAAAAATTACAAGGCATACTAAAAGGTAACAACAGCAGAATACACATTCTTCTCAAGCTTACATGGAACATTCACCAAGATATACCACATTCTGGGCCATAAAAAAACACCTTAACAAATTTAAAAGAATAGAAATCATATAATGTCTGCTCTCAGACCACAAGGGAATTAAACTAGAAATCAATAACAGAAATATAACTGGAAAATCTCAAAATATGTGGATATTAAACAATATACTTCTAAATAACACATGGGTCAAAGAAGAAATCTTGAGAAGTATTTTGAACTAAATAAAAATGAAAATATGATTTATGAAAATTTATGGGATGCAGCAAAAAGGAGTGCTTAGAGGGAAATTTATACCATTGAATGCATATATTAGAAAAGAAGAAAGTTCTAAAGTCAATCATCTAAGTTTCTACCTTAGGAAACCAAAAAAGAAGAGCAAATTAAATCCAAAGTAAGCAGAAGAAATAATAAAAATCAGAGCAGAAATCAATGAAACTGAAAACAGGAAATTAACAGAGAAAATCAATGAAACCAAAAGCTGGTTCTTTAAATAGTTAAGTAAAATCAATAAGCCGTTAGCTGGGCCAATTAAGAAAAAAAGAGGACACACATCACTAATATCAGAAATGAAAGAAGGGACATCACTACAGATCCCACAGACACTAAAAGGGTAAGAAAGGAATAGTGTGAACAAGTTTAGGCCCACAAATTTGATAACCTAGATGAAATGGACCAATTCCTTAAAAGGCATAATCTGCCAAAACTCACAGAAGAATTAGATCATCTGAAGAGGCCTATACCTATTAAAGAAATAGAATCAATAATTAATAACCTCCCAAAACAGAAATCACCAGGTCCAGATGGGTGTATTCCACCAAACATTTAAGAAAGAGATAAAAGGATAAATAACATGAAAGAAAGGTTAAGAGACATGGAGAAGATTT